GGCGTGGGTGTGCCAGACAGCACGGGGCTGACAGCAGCCTCCTGTAGCTGCCCTTTGCTCAAGGCTCTTGGTGCCAGGAGCACTTCAGCCCTCAGGTAGCACTCCTCTTTCAGGGCAGATGGAGCTTCAGGGGTGTGTGTCTCTCCCTTGGGATGTTGAGACCTCGCAGCTTCTTTTGCTGCAATAAGAGCACTTGAGAGAGGAGAGTGAGGCACTTTGGCGGACCGAGGTGCCCCAGCCCGCCCTGGGCAGCACAGGCAAGCGGCCGGGCAGCTCCATGGAGGAGGGCTGCAGCAGGCAGCAGCCCTGGGAGATGGTTCTCTCTTGGCAGGAGCTGGCAGAGCTCACCGAGGAGGAGTCCCTCACAGGGGTCCCGCTGCTGGTGTTTGCCAACAAGCAGGACCTAGTGACTGCAGCACCTGCAGCCGAAATTGCAGAAGGGCTGAGCCTCCACACGTACCGGGACCGGGAATGGCAAATCCAGGCCTGCTCAGCCTTGTCTGGGGAAGGAGTGCAGGTAGAAACGAGGGGCTGCAGGCTCTGCAGAAGTGGACCTGCCATGCTCTTGGCCTGTGCACATATGTCTCTGTCTCTTCCCTCCAGGATGGGATGAACTGGATTTCCAGCCAGATCATGAACAGGAAGAAGTGAGAACTGTGAAGTGCCAGACTGAACTGAGCTGCAGGTCCCCAAGCCATGGCCAGCCCCCCTGGTCCCCAGACTCCACCCAAGGGCTCACCCGGGCGCTGAGCCTCAGACTGCCCTGCTTAGATGGCCTTCCCACCCAGTCTTTCACTCATCGGTTGGCTTCCCCTCTCCCTGCCTCCTGGGCTTTCATGGGCTTCTTGTATCCCCCAACCTTCCTGCAGCCCCTGTACTGTCAGGGAGAAGCCCACATCCTGTTGTGTCAAGGGCTTGCACACCTCCAGAATGAGAACTTGCTCCGGACTGGTCCATCAATGCTACTGGCACACCCTACAGAGTCTGCTGCAATGCACACACTACCCAGGTCACACTGAGCACCCCACAGCAGCACGGGCTACGCTTTCTGACACAGCACACACAGCCAGCCGAATGCTGTGTATTCCTCCACA